GCACAAACCTTATATGGTTCTCATCATGCAGATCAATTTTACCATCTTTCGTGAATAATCAGGAGAGCAGTCATGTACTTTTGAGGTGCATCAGCTGGGTTAGATAGCCTAGGCTTACCTGTGGTCATTTTCTGTGTTTGGCTGCATTGAAGAGTTTTCGCTGATGCTGCCTGACAACAGTGAAAAGGCAGCTATTCCCCGCCTCCTTGTACTTGGGATCGAACTTGGGACCTTGTGCTTTCAAGGCAGGCCAAGCAGTGGAACCACTGAGCTAAATCCCTGCCCCAGAGCAGCTGTTTTTGATGTTTTTTGTTTATGCCTGAGATTTTGGATTGAATTTGGAGCCCCGGCCCTTTTTATTTATTTTGAGATGGAGTCTGACTAAATTGTCCAGCTGGGCTTATTCCTTAGCCTCCTGTCTCAGCCTCCCAAGGTGCTGGATTATAGTAGTAATACTGTGGGGTTTTTTTGGGGGGGCGGTACTAGGGATCTAACTCAGGACCTGAGGTAGGTGCTGTGCTGCTGAGCTAAATCCCCCGTCTTAGTAATATAGGGTTTTCATATTGTGTCAATACATGTATTTTGTAGCACCCCTTAAAATACAGAGGTTTAGTTGACTGTAAATTCTTGGAGTAATTGAAAGAGTCTGACAAGTGGGGGGTCCTGGGCAGATGGCTGGCTTTTTTAGTGGTGGAAAATTATTAGGATTGTATTTATCTGAAATACTCTTTCATTGGTTTTATCATTCAGAAGTTTCTTGTTTTGATGTCTTGTCATAAGTTTATTATTGATTGGAGTATTTAAACAGAATGTTAGAAGTGGAACTTGGAGCTGGGCATGGTGGCACATGCCTGTAATCCTAGCATTCCTACAGTGTCAGAACTTGGTCCCTGTTGGAAGCTGAAAGCTATGCATTCAATATGGTGGCACATGCCCTTAATCCTGCTGCTTGAGAGGCTGAGTCAGGAGGATCACAAATTCAAGGCCAGTTGGGGCTACACATGTGAGACTTAAAAAATGACAATAAAACCTAAAATCTGTGGGTCCTAAAAATCTATTTGCACCTATGATATCAGAAAGCTAGGTCATTGTAGTCAGTGCTTATTTTTTGTGGTACTGGGGATTGAACCCAGGGCCCTCTTACCGAGCTACATTTCCAGCCCTCTATTTTGTTTTGAGACAGGGACTCACTAAATTGCCCAGGCTGGGCATCCCCAAGTGCTGGGATTGCAGATGTGCAGTACTGTGCCTGCCCTGGCTTGTTGATTTCTAATGAGTATGTAATTGAACATACAATGCTACTTTAAATTAGTGATGGCAGTAACTTGTGGGTGATAGCAAGAATTTAGGTGCTTTGTTAGTATTTGATTACATTGGGTCTGTACAAAACACAATTAGTTTCAGCAAATGACTAAGACCTCCCCACCCCTAAAACTAAACACCGAGTTATGTAACTGCTATTAAAAGGGTAAGTACATGGAGTGTTGTCATGATTCAAAGGCAAATTACTTGGTCTCTGAGCTCTAGGAATATGATATAATGGTGTGATCAGACAGATACTAACCAAGTATCCTAGATCTTTTTGGTTTTTTGAGACAGGGTCTCACTATGTAGTTGAGGCTGACCTGGAGCTCACTAATAAGTAACCCAGGCTGGTCTCAAACTCACAGCAATCCTCCTGCCTCAGCCTCCCAAGTGCTGAGGTCATAGGCATGTGCCACCACGCCCAGTTCAGTTATCTTAATAGGAAGGAGAGTTGTAAGCTGGGAGACAGTCAGATTCTTTTATAGAGTGGCCCTAAAGGATTGGAGAGGCTGTGACAAGTGGGGGAGGGCAGTGCAGAAAAACTGAGCCAGGAGCAGTAATATGTGGTGAGAATCATGGAGCTATAATTCTCAGCTGTTTTACCTTGGTTTTCCCCGGGAACTGGATTTGAATTTCTCCGAAGACCTTTCATTTAAACACCTTTATACGTACTAGGATGGGCACCTACCTCAGGGATAAGCAGCACACCTCTAAAATGCTGTGGGATGTGTGTCAGAATAAATCACCTTCTTTAAAAAAAAAGCATAGTGGGAATTGTAGGCTGACTTGTGTTAATAGAGACAGGCATATCACCAGGAGCCAGTAATTTAGTGAAAATATAGGACCAGCCGATTACCTGTGATTGGCTCGGACACAGGGAAAAGACAGCTTTTGGACACATTACTGTGTCTAAGTCCATTGGAGAGAACTTTGAAAAAAAGCGTGTCAAACCAGGGCTGAGTCTTTGAGGTGTTAATGAAGTCAGCCTTTTTATTCCCTTTGAAAATTATAATCTTTTAAAATTTTCATTCACCTTAATTTACTCTAAAGATTACATGAGAGGGGCTGGGGATTTAGCTCAGTGGTTCTGCCACCTGCTTCACAAGCTCAAGAATCCTGAGTTTGATCCCTGGTACCAAAAACAAAATAAAGTATGGAGTCTACTTAAAAAAAAAAAAAAAAAAAAAAGATTATACGAGAAAATTTGTTAGTTACAAAACAAACATCTGAAACTAATATTACAGTGTATAAAATTCTGGCTTTGCCACAGTACGTATCTGTATTGCAGAATAGTTTAATTGCAGTTACGTGTGTATTATTCTCCCCTGTACTGGGAATCTAATTTAGGACCTCATGCTTGCTAGGCAGGTGCAGTAAGTACCCTGAGCTACCTCCCAGGCCAATTGAAGTCTTATAAAACTGTAAGCAAGCATATTTTGTTTTAATTAAATTGGAAAGTTCTGCTTTCCCTAAGTGTAATTTGTAGTTTCTACTGGAATAACATTTTAACCAGCCTTAGGGATTAGGATAGGACAAAATAAAACTTAATATTTAATCTTAAAATTTAATCTTGTTTGCATCCCAGAAAGGTCTTTTTGCAAACCTTTTTTTCTCTTTCTTTAAACTTGGATGTGGTCCCCTGAGAAGAGACAAAATAAGATTAGATGGAGTAAGAAATGGTTCAGGAAAAATTTTACAGTGGTTAATGAGTTCTTTGGTTTTTTAAGAGTTTCACTATCTAGTTCAGGCTGGCCTTGAACTCACCAGGTTGGGCTTGAACTCGGAGTGATCCTCCTGCCTTGGCCTCCCAAGTGCTGGGATCACAGGTGTGCGACATCACACCGGGCAAATGAGTTCTTAAGTAGCTAAATTTTTAAGATGAGTATTTATACTGAAAGAACACCTAAAGTTTTAATTGCTGACATTATTCATTGATATATATTTCATAATTCATATGATTCTTTATAATTATGAAATTAATAGATCCTTTAAAATTATTTTAAAAGGAAGCTCTGTCAGCAGTATCATTTGTTACATCTTTAGAAATTACATTGAATATTGGATAATCCTTTTTGTCTTTTCTAAAAGATAGGTATCTTTAAAAATATCAGACAAATTCCCAGTGATGAATGTGATCATAATGTATACCTCAACTATACCAATAAAATTAATTTTAAACATACCAGCTATTCAGGACAAGTCCAGTTGGCTGGATTAGGCTGTGAAAGTCAGTGATGTAAGTCCAAAGAACTCACTGACAGCAGTAGTTGAATGCTTCACTTGACCTGACTGAACTAGAGAAAGACAGAATGCAGTAAATAAGATGGGGGGAGGAGGAAGAGCCACAGCAGCATTTTTTCCTTGGTCCTTTTGTGTATGTGGTTTGCAGGGTCTTTCTGTGTAATCCATGCTGGTCTTGAACTCTCAGCCATCCTCCTGCCTCAGTCTCCCAAGTGCTGGGATTACAGGCAGGTGCCCCTGTGCCCAGCTGTTTGTTTTTGAGATAGGCTCTGGCTATGAAGTTCAGGCAGGCCGTAGCCCCGGTTGGCTTTTTAAGCTCATGGGGATTCTCCTGCCTCAGCCTGAGTGCTGGCATTACAGATGTATGTCCTCACACCCTGCTCTAGTTTACATTTTGCAGTTGAGATTAAAATACAATTCTGTCCAGTCGTAATTGGGTTTAAACAATGTTTTGTTTCTAGATGATGATGCCTTTGTATAGCTTAGGGTATTTTTAAAAAACTGCCATTGCTTGACGCTGGTATTAAGGGTAAAATTATTTAGATGTGGAAGCGAGGAAATGTGTACATGATTACATTGTTTTCATTCCATTCTATTTTACATTCTATTCTAGGAATAGCCTTTGATTATTTTTAGGTTCTTACATAAGAAATGTAAAATCCATTTACTTCAGTGAGAATTTTTAAAAATGACAACCAATAATGGAGTCTAGTATGGAATTCCAGTTAGCCTTGCTTTAAATGTAAAATCACATTATGGAAACATTGGGAGAAGGAAGAAGAAAAAAAATACAAATGGTCCCATGCTTTGGGCACTACTTCCACTTTGATGAACCTTCTCGTCTCAATATTTTAAATAGACTTCAAGTTTTTTTGTACCTTAACTCCTGCTTTAAACACTGTCTCAAACATCAGGCAAGTGCAACAGTGTGATGAGGCAGTGTTTTAGGTGCTAAAATTATAGAGTGAAATTTTTCTTTATTCCTCCCCCTCAGTCCATACTGCAGCTGTGTTAGTTTGGGTTACTCCAAGGTGACTCTCAGATGGCCAGAATAAAGCTGTCTTTCATGAAATCAGGTGCTTATTAGACTGGATCTAATGAGGTCTGACAAATGGATTTTCTCTAGTATTACATATTCAGCCCTGGCCCCCTGCACCGCCTCACCCATCAGTATCTATAAACACATAGGGACTGATCAGTATTGCTTTCTCTGAACAGTTTTTGAGATGAGAAACTGGAAATAAACATAACAGTTTACAATTTTACACTTTTTTTTGTACGGGGGATTGAACTTCGGACCTGGCACTTGCAAGGCAGGCATGGTGCTGCTGAGCTAAACCCCTGGCCCACACTACATTAACGTTTAATTTTAGGCGTGTAATGGCTAAGTATAGATGTTTATTTCTAACCAATGTAATTTCAAGGGGTTTACTGTGATTTTTAATATTTCTAAGATCTAACTGCAGCCATGAGCAGCAATGAGTGCTTCAAGTGTGGACGAACTGGCCACTGGGCCCGGGAATGCCCTACTGGTGGAGGTCGTGGTCGTGGAATGAGAAGCCGTGGCAGAGGTGGTTTTACCTCGGATAGAGGTATTTTTGTCGAAAAAGTTTTTGAACTACTTCAGTATTTGTTAGTAGCGAGACCCATCTAATTAGCCAAATTCTTTTTGTTTCTGCTCAAAATAGGTTTCCAGTTTGTTTCCTCATCTCTTCCAGACATCTGTTACCGCTGTGGTGAGTCTGGTCATCTTGCCAAGGATTGTGATCTTCAGGAAGATGGTAAGTATTTAACTCTTCTCCTGTCCCTCTAGACTGGGAGAGGTGAGCGTGTACTACTGCAGGTAGCAGTGGAGAGAGTTTCAGTGGTGAGGTTCCAGATTGTGTGGGTTGGAATATAACAACACTATGACAGGTTTTATAGTCTGGGTCTGCTTCTTTTCCTTATTGTTGAAGCCTGCTATAACTGCGGTAGAGGTGGCCACATTGCCAAGGACTGCAAGGAGCCGAAGAGAGAGCGAGAGCAGTGCTGCTACAACTGTGGCAAACCAGGCCATCTGGCTCGCGACTGTGACCATGCGGATGAGCAGAAGTGCTATTCTTGTGGAGAGTTTGGACATATTCAGAAAGACTGCACCAAAGTGAAGTGTTATAGGTGAGTTGATAGGCTGCGCTAGGACACTGCCGGTGCTGCTGGAGTGTGGGGCAGTGCTCTTCCTGGGAATTGGTGGGGACCAGATGAGACTGTTTTACAGTAGGTTATTTGTACAGCATCAGTCTGTATTTTGCCATGGTGAAGTACATATGGGTATGTATGTATGTATGTATTTATTTATTTATTTATTTGGGGGTGGTACATGGATCCTTCTGCTTGCGAGGCAGGCGGCAGAACCACTGAGCTACATCCCTGGTGGGTATGAATTTTTTTCCTTACTTGTAGACAGGGTTTCACTGTGTATGTATAGCCCAGGCTGACCTCAACTACCAATCCTCCTGGTTGGCCTCTTGAGTGCTGGGGTTTAGGCCTGTGCACAACACCTGCTTTGCTTGGTGTGTGCGTGTGCATGTGTGCTTGAGACAGTCTGGCTGTGTATCCTAGTCTGGCCTTAAACTCACAGGGATCCTCCTGTTTCAGCCTTCTGAGAGCTGAGATTAAAGGCATGCACCGCCACACTCATATATATATATATATATTTTTTTTTAC